GATCCGCCGGGCTGTGGAAGGTAACCGTATGTTCGGCATGGTTCTCCCAAAACGAGCGCGATTTTCAAGCGACCGAGATTTTCACGAGTTGGGTACACTTCTTCGCATCGTCAATGTTCAGTATTATCCTGATGGGCGAAGTTTGATCGAAACGATGGGCATATCTCGCTTCCGGGTAGTTGAGCACGGGCTGCTCGACGGTTACACCATCGGGAAGACAGACCGGATCGATGATGTCAGCCTCGAAGAGGAAGAGGCCCTGGAAGCAAGAGAAGTTACACCGGCTACTTCACCCCAGTCTGAATTGATGACAAGCGAGCACGGATCTCCCAATCTGGCTATGCAACCTCAAAACCCTTTAGCTCCTGAGGATCCGGAAGATATCACCAGGTTTCCGACAAAGCAGTTGCTTGAATTTGCTCTCGACTTTGTGGCAAGAATGAGAGCAGACAGCGTTCCCTGGCTGACGCAGCGCATGTTGGAACTATATGGAGAGTGTCCCGACGACCCTGCCATCTTCCCGTGGTGGCTGGCGAGCATGTTGCCAGTCCGAGAAATCGAAAAATATAAACTGTTAGAGACATCAAGTGTAAGGGAAAGGCTCAAAATCTGCTGCCGGTGGATTATGGAATGGGAAGCATCCACATGGTGAGTTGTTTGCCCCAGAACAGTGCCCCTTTTGTCACCTACCCCTTTTCCATGACATCATCGCCACAAGACTGTATTCTTGTGATTGCCTATTGTTGCCCCTTTCCCTGCCCCCAGATCCGTACTTGCTATATGGTCTGATCTCTGACACTCGTCAGACGAATCCGCCGTCGCCAAATCTATCGTCGCTCGATCAAGGGACTGTCAAATGGTCCTGCGCTACAACTAGGGTTATGTTATGGTGATATTGACACGTTATATAGGTCTTTCCGAGACTGCACCATTCTCTAACGCGGTTCTTCTCATTCCACCCTCCTCCCTCACTTTCGATTACCACGGCTACATCGTCAGTAGATGTGTATGATGGTCTTCAAAACACACAACTCGGCACGTCCCCGATCCCTGCACCTTCGCTCCTCTCAACCCCTTTTATCATCTTCAAACCCATATGCCACGATTTACCGGAAGAGTCACTTCATGGACAAGAGAAAAGCACACAGAATCGCCGATACTGCGTTACAAAATTATGCTTGCTCATTTTAGGGCGAAGTAGCCCACCGTTTTCGTTTTCTATTCCTCTAGATACCAGCTTCTATATATCTCTTTCTTAGCGGCCGTTGTCTTTGTGTATCCTTTCAAACTAGTCAGTATTGAAATGGACGGACCACTGGTCTAACAATATCTCTTCAATTACATAAATACTATTTCCCCTCCATTGTGGTCGTTTTGTTGTGCCTACTGGCATGACCACTCCTCCCCTTCATTCTAGATATTACCTCCGCAAATGACAGACGTTCAAAACAGTGATTGATATACCTTTTAAGCTTCTGGAAGATTAACACGCGGGGCCACATGATGCTGAACCCAGACTCGGGCTCTCGTGTACTTTCTATATCCATCACATTCAAATCTCTTATTACGCTTGACAGAAAATAGAGTACAATTATGGGGATCCCCCAAACTTTGAATATATCCAGCAAAACGAGCCTAATTCCTCCAGCACTTAGAGTCGCATTCTGGTAATCTACAGTGCATAATTTCCAGTTTGTACTGATACTTACTGAGACTGAACACGTTGAATCGTTCCACTGTAAGCAACTACCATTTCGCCGCGCTGGTAGGTTCAGCCTGAGACTCTCCCCATCCCCCTTCATCAACCATGCCGTTTGTGTCAGCTGCAGCCGCCGTATCACCCCAGGTGGAGGGGAATGAGCCAGGCATAGCGCTGCCCTGCGGAGCCACATTGTTATCTTCGTTCTCATTATTTCCATCCCAACCACTGTTGTTGTTGTCATCGTTTCCAAACGTCGCCTCTTGGGGAGGTTCTGATGATCCCCAAGCGTCATTACCAGACGCGCCTGCATCCCATGCATCGGGAGCTCCGTCGGCACCGCCTGAGGCCTCCGGAGCAGTTGCATCCCAACCCCCGTTTCCATCTTGCGCATTGTTTTCATTATTCTGAGACCAGTTATCTGGCTCAGGGTTCGTCTGCTGTGGAGACCCGGCTTGTGACTGTGCCCCATCTGTGTTTCCATGATACCATGACGTTCGCCCGTTGTTACTTCCACCATTCGGCTCAGGTTCCTTGGCATCCTGTTGGCTGCCAGGTGGCGAAATTCGTTTCCCCCAGTCTGCGAAGACCGAGGTTCTGTTGTTATTGTTCTGATAGCTAGTTAGCTCAGGCCCCTTTGCGAAGGACACTTTCTTCTTTTGCCTTGCCTTTTCTGACGCCTGCCCTGCATTATGGCCTGAGCCGGCCTTAGCAAGCGCGTTCTTCTGAGCATTGAGCTCCGCGGAGTCATGATAAGCACCTCTGCTGTTGAAAGCACCGAGATTTGCAAGTGCTGGGTTGAAATGATCATAGCCCATGCCTGAAGGGGGATACGCGGCGTGCCAGGCATTCACCGGCATCCCTTGTGTAATTGGCACATTGCTGAACTCTCCTGCCTCTGGTTTCTTTGGAGGCAGAGAATTGAAGCCGTAATAGTATGGATTTTGCGTCGGGTGAGGCATACCAACGGGCAGAGGACGCTTGGTTGAATCACGCTTTGGATAAAGCGACCGAGTAGGATTTCCACCATAGACGGGTCCTTGATACACTCGGATTATATTGTGCTCGGCGTCATAGAAGGCGTTTGGTGGTGGATCTTCGGGTGTTTCGATGACCCGTTCGGTCTGTACGACCTCGGCGCGAACAGGAGCAACATAATTTGGACGTCGAGGGTGTGGAAGAGGATTGGCTTCTGGATAATTTCTCTTATCAGAGCGGTCTGCATTGGCCTGTTTTGCAGTCTTTGGAGCATCTTCTTCTTTGGCGCTCCGCTTCTTCTTCTCGCGTTCGTTGTCCTCTTCTTCACTCTCGTCGCTACTCTTCTTAGACTTGGAAGCCTTCTTGGCTCTCCGACTTCTCGCCTTTTCTTTCCGGGCCTTCTTCTTCTTCTTCGCTTCTCGCTCAGACTCACTGCTTTCCGGTGAGGATCCCGATGTCTCTGTGTCGGATTCTGGCACGGGCTCCTCCTTCTTGGTGACGCGCTTTCTGAGCTTCCTGTTCTTCACTTTGGTCGAACTGTTAGTCTCTGATCCAGAATCGTCTTGGCTCTCAGAATCGGACGAGGTCTCCGCAAGTCGACTTTTCCGAAGGCTCGCTCGGCGTTGTCTCAACTTCCTGCGGGCGCCATCACTCTCCCTGGACTTACGTTTAGGGGGGGGCGGCTCATAGTCGCTGTCTGTACTTTCGCCCTCCTCAGAGGTCGACTCCACATCCGTCGACCCCTCTGAGCTCGTCCCGGGTGATTCTGTCGACGACTGAGCCGAGGCAGTAGCCTCCGAGGACGAGCCCTCGGTGGCAGAATCCGAGGCCGAGGAGGCTTCCTCGGACTCTGAGCCGGGCTCGACGATCTGAACCCTCTTCTTTAGCGCAGATTTCAGAGGAACCTGCTGTTGGAAACGAACTTTCTTGACCTCTCTCCGAGGCAGGTCCCCGTTGGGCTGTGTGCGTGGGTAGGTAATCTTTACGGTGTCCTCGCCGGACTCGTCGTCGGTGGAAAGCTCGACTCGAAGGACGCCTCGTCGGCGCGGCTTCTTCTTCTTCTTGGGGACTGGTCCCAGGGCAGATTCGATGGTGGTTCCGACAACCCACTCATAGAAGGTCGAAGGGTACTTCTTGTTTTTCGTCATTTTTGCTCAGCAATACAATTGTAATCAAGACGATGACAGAGGTTCTCAATAACAAAGTTGGTTCAAAGCGATGGAACAGGTAGCCTTGGATTATAGCAACACGGTCGGAGTTAAGTTCGGTTGGTGATGGAGGAGGAGGAGGGTGAAAGAAATATGAGCAGAGAGGGGGGCTGGTTCAAGTTACAAGACGTCTGGCGGCCCGTTTTCCAGCTTCGTTCTCGGGCACTGCTGAGAAGGCGTTCAGATGTCCACGGACGCAACACCAAGCACACCCAAGGCGTCTCATTAACGCAAAAAGATGGCAGCTAGTGTGTAAGCCTGTGTTAATGGCTATGGAGATGAATTTTGGAGTTTCAAAATCAAATTCGTCCGCTAGAAAAGCCAGATCTTGTTCGCCTTCGTCCCAAGTTACATGTAGGCGCGGGGAACATTTGTTGCAGCCGGACTGAAGAGGACGGGTTACATACACCTCGCGTCAACGGACATGTTACAAGGACTAAAATATCTATCACCCTTTGAAGCTAACAGAGCATATTAGTACATCGTGCCTGCCTAGATTCTCTTCTTCAGAGTTTGAGGGAAGTCGCATTTGAAGACTGCGGACATCCAGAGGGGCAGGTACCTACTGCCTTGGCTCAGAAGACATTGGAAGTTACTTGGTGCCTGATACAAGGCAACAGGCAGCACTTGTTCTCCCAAGGATTGCGTCACTGATAATAACATAAGGTATGTACCTACTAAGCTCAGGAGATGTTTTCGAGTCCACGCGGCCAGTCACTGCTTCAGGCTACCTACTCGGAAGGGTGCTGGAAGGGTGGGTTTCTCACTCCCTCAAATCTACGGATTGATACGATTGAATTATTTACTTTTGACTTCATTCGATGAGGATTCTGTCGAATTCGAATTTCTGAGTATCTCGAGGAGCAAATTCAAGTAGCAAGTTTGTAGTTACACCAATCCTTCCCCATAGCCCCTTTTCGCCTTTCTCAACTCCACTGCCTTGATGAGACCGCAGGACTAAGCCACCAGGTGTATACTCAATTCGCAAATCAGTACTGTCGTTTTAACAATTGCCACTTTTGCCCGAAAGAATCCCTTCAAATGGTCAGTTTTGTCACACAATGGTTGAGCGAGGATGTGTATGCACTTACGAAGTGTGTTAAAGAGTCGTCAGACTAGTTGGGGAGGCGCACAGCATAGAACCACCCTTCGTCTGTGACATACCAACGGCAGTCACCCATATGATCGATAGAAAACCGGTTGCGCTGGGTCCAGTTACCATCAAGCTCCCGAACATAGTAAAAACGGGATGGGTCATCATCGGCAGGCTTGAAGTCCTGCGGCTCAAACAGCCTGTTTTGATGCGCAAATTGGTTTTGCCGCAAGATCTCCTCTCCTTGAGTCCGACCCAGCCCAGGAAATTCAGGTGCAGGGACAGGGTTACCTGCAATGATCGGAGGCTGGCCTCCAATGACGGCTTGGCCCGCCGGGATGAAAGCCTGCTGAACCTGAGGTCCAGCAGCCATCATAGGCTGGCCATTGAGCATGACCGACTGCGGAACATAGCCGGTCTGGGGCGGGACGACAAAGGTAGGCTGTTGAACGGGCACGCCGTTGATTGCTTGAGGCTAAATATGCAATGACGAGTTAGCAAATGACCTTTTCATGAGTTCCTTCAGCTAACATAAAGAGAATCGAGAGTGTCAGATTGTGGGGAAGAGAAAGGTGATGGAAAGGGTCAGAGTGCAAGGAAGATAATGTCATGCGCAAGGATTCATCCAGGCAAGTCGACGGAGCAAAGCCACTAGACACGCGTCAACTGATTGACTGACATAATAATAATATGGGTGGTTCATCGGATGCTGTTGTGGCATTGGGACATTGGCGAGCATAGTGGTGTTGACAGGGGCACAGTTAATAAAAGAAGAAGAAGGGTGGTAACGGACAGGGACATTGCCGACGGGAACAACGCCCCCGTCAAAGCGTGGAACATAGAGATGGTTCATGGGTCCCATGCTGGTGTCTGGGACGGGTGGCTGATAGTTGAATCCCATAGGAGGAGGGCAGGCATTCTGGTAGTCGGCGGCCATGGCGGTCTTTTGCTGCACTAGATAACTCTGCTGAGTTGGAGGATAGATGTAAGTAACTGGCTGTAGGTGAGTGTGAGCACGGTCTGCATGTTGCGTCAAGTTGGAAGTGAGATTGGGAGTGAGGGCCACCTGAACAGTCGCGTGTTGCGCTTGTTGTTGCTGCTGCTGGGGAAAACTGACGCTCTGGCTTGCGTTTGTCGAGGTGAACCACTGGCCTGGACCCAGACTGGAAGGAGGCACCAAGGCAGGAAAGCTGGTCGGCTGGGTAGGAGTGGCAGCGGCTTCTGCTGCAGGAGCTGGTGCCTTGTTGACGGTGATGTTGGCTTCGAGGTTGTTGAGTTTGGCTGCAGCCTTGGCCGTTTCGCCAGCTGTTGTTGTTTGGAAATGCACGTGTCGACTTGACGGGTCGGCACCAGGTGTCTTCACGCGTCTGGGAGTCTTGGGAGATTTGTACTCTGCTCCTGGCTCAGGCATCTCTTGGGGGCGAGATGAGGGCAAGAAAAGAGTGCAGATGGAGAAGAGGTGTTGTTTGGGTTGAAGAGGAGTGAGTGGTGGAGGAGGAGGTGGAGGTGGAGGAAGAGTGAGAGGGAAGGAAGAGGGGCTGGAAGGGAAGAGGGCGGAGAGGGAGAGACGAGGTGGAGGCCAGAGCAAGAAAGCATGAGTCTGGGGGCAAGGTGAGGGCAAGGTGAGGGTTTGCTCAGATTCGTTTCAGTTCCTGCCAGCAATCACATGCAATCTGAGGCGTCGAAGCTGGGCAGTTGTGGACAATCACATTCGGTTGGCTAGGGCTAACCCGTCAGAAGATGGGATGGGCATCATGATCACCGCACAAATCTGGCCGGGACAATGGATCGAGCATCAGAGTTTTCTCTTCTAGGCGCCAGGCAAACACCTACCGTGCGCTGTAGTGCCCAGCAGTTGTTGCCCGTTGGGACCCAAACCGCGTGTTCGGGGAGTTCAGAGACTGCGTCCAATGGATCCTCGTACCGAGCCCAAGCCCACTGGAAACAAGGTAGACACATCTTGGGTAGGTAGGTTTTCGTGGAATTGCGTTGATTGGTGTTGAGAGGCAAGTTTCGATATCAAAAATGAGAGAATGATAGAAAGGAGAAAGAAAGAGGGACCGTACTGACCAAAATACGAGGCATGATATCACTGGAAAGTGAGAAACTCGGATACATCAGCAAGATTTGTCCCCAGAGAGTCTAATACTCTTTCTACTAGATAAAGCCCTTACCTTTTTGGTATGCCGTACTATTTTCACGCATCCCACCAAGTACCGCCACAGAAGGATGAACAGGCACTCATACACACTTTAGGAATATGTAGCATCTACTGCTGTTGAACAGCTGATACGGGCAGTCCAAGAAAGGCCGCCCTGTACCGCATCTAATAACTCGGGTATGGCTTCTTTACCATAATACATTCGAACGGTATTAGTGAATCCAACACTTAATTAATCACCCTTACCATCACCAATGACCTCGAAAGCCCAAGCCCAAGCCCCTTTCTCAGCATCCACTTTGCCCACACTTTGTTCAGACATAAGACGGGAAAACATAGAATCCCGTGGCCTTCATTGGCGTAGCCCTCTCATCTTCATAGACCTGACCGCCTTTTGAGTCTATTGTTCCCAGAAAGGCGCGTGCTTCCTCAATGCCTTGCCGAGCGCACGCTCTCGGTCCTTCTCGTCATCTGATCGTTCTGCGAGCAACGCATCGACAAGTGCCAGCTGCTCCTCAGTGAGCTCCCCATCCGTATCTCTGCTCTCGTGTCTCTCGATCAGGGTCTTCACCCGAGCGTATATGCCGTAAGCTTCGATCTTCTAAGCCTGATCATTGCAATAAGGGTCAGCCATGTTTATAAAGTCGGTGCATGCAACTTCACCCACCCGAGCCAAAACAGGCATTTTCCGCCGATGAAAACATTCTCTCATCTCTCTCAACTGATCCTTCCTCTTGAACGGCTTCCAGGCACCCGGGCTCCCGTTGCCCCCGATGTTGGGCTGCATCGGCTCTATAGCCTTGAAGACTACGCCGCAATCTCTGCCTCCCGGCGCGGGATCCTCAAGACGCATACACTTCAGCCTTTCCAAGATTTCTGCTGCCTCGAGTCGATCTCCCGGCACTCCGTGCTCCATGATCCAATCCAGCCTCTGGCGCATGCAGTAGAGCAGGTAATCCGTCTCCTTCCCATCTTGAGCATCCCAAGATTCGAACATGGAGAGAACAGTCTGGATATCGGTATGGTAAGGAAGCGGCTCGAAGGATAACAAGAGGCTCCCGTTCCCTGCGAGACGGAACATGATGATGCTGCAGTTCGCCCGGGCCTGCACTTTTCTACCTCGCCATCCTCGCCTTGTTGCCACGACCTTTCGGACGACTTCAGAGGAATCCATAGCCGTGAGGTCTGTGTTTCAAATTAGTACCAGAGTTCTACTCATAAGAACAGCTTCATCACCCAGTTTTGACACACCAGCCCAGAGACGACCAGCAGGACGCCAGTCTCTTGCGATCGTGAAAAATGATATTTGTAGGTTCAGGGTAACATATGGCCATCGATCGCGACGATTGTGATGAGATGAGTGGGAAATGGTAGCTAGCTGAGGGAAATCCCATAGTCTGTCATACTTCCTGACGAAACAAACCCAGCCCGCTGCCGACTCGGGAACGGTTGTTGGCAGATGTGCAGATCCGTGCAGCTGGAAAAACAATGTCGGCTGCCCACGCCCGAAATTGCGCCAGTTGATATCAATCACATGTCAAGTTAGCTCTGTGGTACCTGCCGCTTTCCAGAAACCCAGCTTCTGACTGCCTCTGTCCAGCTGGTAGAACACCAAGCACTTACCGATCCGATGACAGCCCCAGACAAGGCAGGCAAACTCATACCTCAAAGACAATGATGGATTCTCTTCAACAATGAACAAGAGCCTAGGTCACATTTAGTCATTCCTCTCACATCCATCATACAATATACAATATAGTGACAGAGACACCATAACACCTTCACCGAAGTGTGATCATCGTTTAGAGAATGCAACAAATCCTTGCATTTTGAATCAGACGCCCCAAAGCCCTCCATGGTCTATGCTCGCTGCCCGGGTGGTTTTGTTTAGCCTAAAATAATGTACAGTTTACACGTTGGACTTTTTGGTTCCATTGGAAGTAGAGATCGTCAACCCTCGTCATTTCGGTCCTCCCCATCATCACCTCCCCCCGTTCAGCTCCGCAACAAGGCTGTAATAATCAGCATATACAATGAGATTGGGAATAAAACAAGATTGGCTTCGGTTCTCCCTTCGGCCCGCCACCTTGGGAACGCCCCTCGCTATCGCTCTCCGTCTCTTTCGTTGGTTTGGTGGAGATTGAGTTTTCTCCCCGCATGGTAATTGTTGGGCATTATTTTTCTATATTGGCACAGTCTCCATAAGACATGCCTCTGGTGAACATATTAAAAGAAACTCATAAAATATTACAGAGAGTCCGATGTGTCGAGATGTGCTTGTTCTGGGATGGGGAAGAATGTGCGACGAACGACCTGGAACTCCGAATTAGTATGCATTTCAAGACGACCAATTGAAACATCCCAAAGTTGTTGAAAGGACGAGAGGCAAGGACACTTACCGTCCAGACAGCAGCCACCGAAGCAACCAGACCACCGGAAATCATCATGGGGCGGACACCCCGCGTGCTCTTAAAGATCATACCGCTCAGACCACCAGCAACCACCGAGTTGGCGGCATCGTGCTTTCCTCGGAAAGACCCGATGAGGGAGTTGATGCAGTTGTACACAATCGCAACAACACCGGCCGAGTTGCCCAGGAAGGGCCCTCTCCGGGTAACTGCGTTCAGAACTGAGTTGAGCTGCAGCTTTGGCGCCTGGCCCGCTGACCGCCTGAGACCCTCCTGCAGACCCCAGGCGCCTCCTATCGACAGGCCGGAGAGGTAGGTGATGCCGGTGCCGTAGCAAAGGTCGTCTGTGAAGCCGCGCGAGGGGAGGACGGACTGGCCGCCGGGGAGATCGGAGAGGACGGAATCCTCGAGGGTCAGATACTCAAGGGAATCCTGGTTAAGGCCGGCGAGAGGATGCAACTGTGACGGGTCGGCGAATGTGGAAGATTGGAGGAAGCTTTCGACGCCCTGGTCCTGCGAAGGGTCATAGGACGGTGAGGGCGAGGAGTATGAAGTCTGGGCCTGGGTCTGGGTCTGGGTCTGCTGGGTGGGTTGGTGGGCAGGCTTGTTGCCGCCAGTAAAGGCGTTCCAGATCGACGACATGGCAGCGATATATGTGAGGTACCACCGAATTGGGCTGGGTGTCGTTGGGATTGCAGAGGGATACGGGGACCGGGCCCTTTCGCGAGGTGTTTTGGCGCTGGGGGGGGAAGTTGGCGATGATGATAACTGGCTCCAGATTGGGCCTTCGAAAAATTTCGGCGCGAGCCAGTTCGATGCGCTGAATTCTGACCCACCATCGGCCAGAATCTCCGACTTACCAAGTCCTTCTCCCGGCCATGGCTGAAGGCTGAAGGGAACCGCACGTGACTCTAGCGCTATACCAATATGGGCCTAGTTCCACAAAACTTTCTTTGCGCTCACATAAATTGCTTCGCATCAGACCTCAAATTTTTCCTTTTCCTTTCTTCCTTCTACATCATCAGTAAGGAGTATTACTGCACCGTCAAGTGTTTTAGTATTTTCTTATTACGGCGGCTCCGCGAAAGCGGCTTGCTGAGGGTTACTCATGATTCCCTGTGAGTTTCCTTCCGTTCCCGGCCTCCCAGAGTAAAGTGACCACCTTTCCTACCAGCCGCGAGAGTCTATTCGAAAGTCTCGTGACTGTGGGGTGGTCTCGACATTCTCGAGAATGCACGTAGCAGTAATTCCGCTCGTAGTAAGCCAGTTAAGGCGAAACATGTCGATCTGAGGCCCAATGGAGCAGACGTGCATTTGCAAACTTGCCGTGTCCTCGAAATACCGTGGTTATGCGGATCTTCATGGTTCAATGTTACTGTGCTCCAAGATCGAAATTTTACTGCTGAACGACGATATCTCCAGTTCCTGTCATTGTGTGACCTGTGGCATGCGTACATGTTACACTTCACCAAGATTAGTATGGCAGCGTAAAAGCTCTTCGATCAAAATCCGATGAATGTATGTATTGATATGTTTCGAAGCTATCTACTATCTCTACATAAAACCCAACAAAAGATGTGACAATATTATCCAATCTGGTATCCAAACCAGCATATTCAAGAGGTATGTTCAGGATCCGTATTTTTTCCCAATCTGCTTTTAATGTCAAAATTCAAAATGCCCCCCAGCAAATCACAACGCCCAACCATGGTTTTTTATTTTTCCAATTTTCCTTCCATATCCATCCAATCTCCAAAAGCGGCGCGAGAAATGCGCACCTAGTCGTGCCTTGACAGCAAAGGGCGAGGTTCCCAATCAATGTCATCATCTTCGATAACTCGATCGTTGGAATCAATGTCGGAACTGCCCTCTCCATCACTGCCAGACTTGTCGTACATAAAGTACTGCGCAAAGACACCAAGGTCCAGGAGGAGCGTTACCAATGCTCCCGCCACCCAGCTGAGGTTAACCAGAATGTACTTGCCGTAGATCTTGGCAGCCTCGCCAGGTTCGCAGGTTTCTTTCTGGCACTTAGGGTCATAAGCGACGATAGAAAGAACATAGGTCAGGTTGCCCAGGCAGGCGAAGAGGAAGAACAGCATGCTAAGGCCATCCGTAGTCTTGCGTCTCCAATTCAAGATGAGCTGGGGTAGTCTCGAAGCAATGTAAGATACAGCGCAGAGCCATCCGAAGAATTGACCCAGCGCATTGAACTCGGGAGGTTCGCTGCCCTTTGGTCGTGAATCCCCATCACCGCTGGTGGCCTTTTGCCCCAGAAACCAACCCAGCACGCCAGCAGCGATGACCATGAGGATAATGGTGGTGTTCCAAATCAAAGTCTGGAGGATCGTGGGAGGGGAAGGCGGGGTAGGGGTAGTGGGAAAGTGCGGTACAGCTGGAGACAAGCCTGACCAGTCTGAACCTCGTCGTTCGTTCACTCCCAAAATTGGCGACGGGAGAAGAGTTGTTCGTTCGTTCGGCTCGCCGTTGGGAAGAGTGTCGTTGCGCTTTGGAGGGGCCGGCTCGTCACGCCACGTGAATCCGCGATAGTAGAAGCATTGAAGTAAAAGCACAAGGTCTGCGATAGTATAGTAGAAGGCCAGAATGATCTGCACATGGCCATGTTAGTCCACAATGCCTGTCTGTACGGCCATAGGCCAAGAATGTTTGGGTACTTGGGGAGAGAATCATACCATGGTGGGGAGCACACCCTGCAGGAGAGCGCCCAGAATGTTGAAGACATCACCCAAGAGCCATATTATGACGAATTGCACAGAGAGTGCGTCTGCGCTGCTCTTTTGGAAATTCTCGATGATCTGCGGGGAGAAAACGACGACTTGGGTCGGGTCAGCTAAATGTAACCATCAAGGGACAGGCAGGGAGCATGGACGAACCCCAGCAAGCGATTGAGACCGATCTAAGAGGCAAAATTAGTTAAGTCGCAGTAGAATCAGATGGACAAGAACGAATTACCTACCCGCAGATGCCAGAGATGGCCTCAACATCGAGGTTGAGGCTCTGCGTAGGAGGAACCATGGCTGCGGTATGGATGCCGAGGTGAGCCGCAGATGCTGCATGCGCTAAGGGAAGGGGAAGATGCAGGACAGCCCCAGACGAGAGAAAGTGTGGGGGAGCTATAGCCGTCGCTCGGGGAGACTGGAGAATTTCATCTGCTGTAGTAGAATCGAGCTCAAGAGGTGGCTCGATACGTCAGTTGCGATGGAGAGAGGTGGAAGATGGAAAAGGGTTCACCACCGCGGGAAGCCGAAATGATGAAAGACTTTTCAAGGATTGTGCCACACTCTCGTGGTTACGTAGTTAGGAATTGCATTTTTGCTGTGCCTCCCCTGGTCCCATGATGATCTAGAGCTTTCACGTACTAGTACCGTTACAGTGTCTCCTACCCTGCAGCTCATGCCAGCATGAATATCGATGCGTCAGAGACAAAGCTTAAATCCGTCAGGGGTGCGAGTCTTTCCGGGGAGGGATGATCAGACACGAGGCGGCGATCGAATATGTGAGGACCACGGATCCTGCGTCAACCAGGACCTGACAATCCATCTGGCAGTTCATCCGTAATTTTCACATTTCTCCACGTGCTGGAGTGATCATCTATCCCCTGGGTCCAATTATCACCTATGAAGACCTCACTCATTTCAATCTGAAACATGTT